AATCAAATAGGTCTAAATATCCTAAATATGATATAATCGATAAATATGTCTGGTTTTGATATCGCTATTATTATTGATAAAAAAGATAAAACACTTCCTAAATCATATATTAATCGTCCTGGTTTTGATATGAAGTATGCTGTATTATATATATCACATTATAGTGGAACTTATACTAATAAACTCAATCAAATTTTTGATAATGAGAGATTATTTGACACTTTATCTACTATAAAACAGAATAAAACACCTGTTCAATGGGTAATACGAGTAAGAATTTCATTACAAGATTTGTTAAATTCAGGAAAATTTAGTGTATATTATCAATATTGTTTATTTATGTCATTTGGTAAAGGTAAATTTGTCAATTTCGCTTACTACAGACCAAAGATTCATAAAAGTCATATGACTATTTGTTTTGGTTGCTGGAAACTCATAAAAATTGATAATGTGAATTCTAAAAAATTATTCCATTTTACTAGACAGAGGTATGTTGATTGTCTCAAACCTAAAGATCTGATGCAGAAACATTGGGATCACGAATGTAATAAACCAAAGACTGATTTTGGAAAAGCAAGAATTATACAAATAGCTTATTGAAATTATAAGAATAGACCTGAATCATTAGTAACCCAAGCTTGGAATGCAATGAGAAATGATGGTACTTCTGATGATGAAAAATTTCTAGGTTTAACTCAGCATCAAATAAAAAATCCTCAAACTCGAGAACAATTTAATCAATGACGTACTAAATGGATTGAATTATATAAAAACAATTCCATGATGCGCAATTTCATTATTAATAGACAATATAAAGAATATTATATTCCAGATAATTGGATAGATTATAAAAAGAGACAATTGCATATTAGATTCCAAAAGCGACTTTTAGAAATAGAAGTATAGTATTTAATCAATTATATAACTTATTCATATATATCTATTTAAAATAAACCACCTAAAGTATTCCTGGAGACTAGTACTTTAGACTTTATTTCATTATCTCCAAGAGCTGGTAACATTTTTTACTTTGATTTTTTATTAATGTATATTCCATATTTTTTGCATGCAAACTTTTTGCACGCAAACTAATAATCAATATTTCATCCTGCTTACAACTCCATTATAGTGAAACTTCCAAAAAGTCTGATCAAAAGAGCGTACTATAGGCTTTTATATCACTCTAGATCTCCTATTATCTCAGATCAAATTTCTGAAAAGTGTGATCGAATTGAGAATTATTTACGTTATACATTAGAAATATATGAAAAAGAATTAAATTGGAAGCGTAAAAAACAAATTAAAACTATAGAATCACTTGAAAATTTATCATATAATATAGACATGGTTAACCAAGAATCCCAAACCCAAGATACTATTCCAATTTGTTTATGTGATCAGACACATAGATGTTCTTGCTTCGCATGTAAGGATGAGATCAATCACTAGGTTAAAAAAGAGGTCAATGTTTTATTTCAGCAATTATTGGAATACAACAAAAAAACTTTTGATAAATTTATGCAAGAAATTACTATAGAGCATGAAAAACGGGTTAATGAAAATAAGAAGTTACAATGTGAGGTTAAAAAAAAGAAGATAGAACTACAAAAGGCTGAAAGATTCCTAAAAAATCTAAAATCTCATTCTACTTATTAGAAAAATCAAGAATTTGGTCCCAACCTTTGCTTATGTAAAAAGAATCTTCTTTTGCTTTGGTTAAATCAATAACAATAAATTACCTATCTTGCAAATTTTTATCAAGTATATCAACAACATCATGCCATTTTATTGTATATCGTTGAGCAATGTTAACTAGTTCATCATATGTTCCACTGTCATTAAAGAGAACAATGTAATCGAGATTTTTTCTTATTAGTTTAGGACAGTCAAAGAAGCTCTGTGTCATGTATATCAAACTGATATTTTTGTGCTTTCTCTCAGTAAAATAACATGCTATTTTATCTTGTATTTTTTTAGATTCTGTACATATATCTTCGAATACAGCTACTGTTCCTCTTTCAGGGGAGAAATCATTAACTTTTGGCATTTTATCAGGTTTTATTGCTCAGAATGTAGCATTTTCATGATATGATTTGGGATTATTTGCAATTATTTTATAACAATCTCAGAGATGTTTATACTTGGGCTCATTAATTTGATGACTGATCAAAACCAAATCATCATTCTTAATATATTTCGTTCCATCTTTTTTCTCACTAAACAATTGATACATTTTATTTCCAAGTAAAAAGTTGATAACTTTATTAGTTTTTCCTGATCTTGTTCATTCACTAACTAATAAATTGAAAGATCATTGAGGTGTATTATTAAGGTCATTAAATCTCTCTATATTTTTGTATTCATCAATATTTAAAACTATTCTTTCTACAGGGTCTAGTTTTTCTATTTTTATATTGATCAAGATAAATAATGCTAAATTATTATATTGAAAAATAATGATCTTATAAGTTTATTCTTTGTGTGATAAATAGCCCTTCTCTTGTAATTTGCTTTTTATATAAGAAAACAAATCTGTATCATAACTAATTTCAACAAGATCTATATCTCGCTTCTTGCATATATTCCACTTTTTTTGATCATGTGCCCTTTGTGAATCTAAGTCATCTTGATTTTTGTGATATAAACTGTTACGATAAAAATGCTGGACTCTATTATACTCCCATGCCAATTTTAGTTCTTCATTATATTCATTGAGTCTCAATTTATCCAAGAATTTTGGTGTGCATGGTAAAAATTTTTTACCCAGTAGATCCTCAAAAATATATTGACAACTTCTTTCATGGGTATGATGATATAGGGGACACCATTCAAATTTCATAGCTATTAATGGATATGGATATTCCCACTGATGTTTTTCATTTTCATAAGACCAGAGATATATATATCAAAATCATTTATTTGGCCAGTTTACCAAGATATTTTCCATTATGCTTCTTTGCATACTCTTCAACCTTAGTCATTTTATTAATAATATAAACAAAATTAATAGATCTGGAACGAGTTTTTTCTTCCAATATACACTGAAGCGGATACTGAAGTTTTTCTAGATTTACGCGCATCAGCTCTTCAAATACAAACTCCTGCTTTGGAGGATATTCATCGTTATCACTTCTGAGATAATATAAAACTAGTTCATTCTTTGTTATCACGATTTTGCAAATTTTATGTAATAAAGGACTCCATATCAGATCTGTATTTCTACGATTTTTTAAATCTGATGATCCTTCCCATCCTCCATTAACTAGCAAATAATAGACTGTATCACCTTTCTTCAACTTATTCTCCTCATATTTTCCAACAGGATGCTTGTACTTTGTAGATGGTCTAGATTCTACTCATTCCAGTTTAATAGCTTTTGCTGAAGCTAAATCCCATTTTAATAAATCCAGAGCTCAAATGAGATATGTTGAATAATTATTAAGATAATCTATTACTTCTGGTAAATATTTAACTCATTCTCTTATTAATTTAGGGTTTGAAATTATACTTTTGACAGCATATTGAACTTTATAAAGCATTTTCACAAGTGTCTTACAGAATCTGTCTACAATTGCTAGATCCTGATGACTATATGTATCAATCAATCTAATTGTTACATTATGTTCTTCCATTATTTTATTCGTCTCACTCATTCATTCACGCTCTTGGTCGCATTGTAGAAGTGTTGGTCATACAAGTGGATTTAATGGATCATTATAAATTTTTGAAGGCTTTGGCAACGTCTGAGCTATTTTTTGATATAAGAGGAACAGCGTATTTAAAACGTGATGCAATATCTATAATAGTGGGTGCTTATTTATATATCTTTTTATTAACAATATCATTTGTAAGATACAATAAATCACATATATGTATGCAATTCAGACGTGAAATTTTACCATAACTAACTCGTGAAATATTTTTTGGTGACAGAGCATACTTTTGTCATTCATTCTGGTTATGTAACCATTCATGAACTTTTTTATATGGGAAATTATATTCTTTATTTTTGATAACATTATACAGCTTTCAAGGATTGGAATGATAACCAGTAGGTTGATAATAAAACATGCTCAAGACAATTTGCAATTCCTCATCTGGATCGATTCTAATAATAGGCATGCTCAATCTACTCATTTTTGATATTACTTATTATAGCAAAGTCAAGAGATAAGATAATATAATATGCCGTAAAAAATAGAGACAAAGTCTTATTACTTTATAATAATTATGGCATTTTATAGACTCCAACTCCCAATTAATCAACTCATAGATCAGCTACAGATAAAGAATTTGAGTTAGAACAAATTAACCAAGAACTCCAGGAGATATTACAATCAGAGGTAACCATCAACAAGTCGAATGAGAAATATATAACAGATCTGAAACATAAATATATTTGATGTGAGAATGAAATTCAATCTCTCAATAAAGAACTAGAATGGCTTGAAAATGCTTTGGAGAAAGAAAAGGTGGAGTTAAGATCAGAAATATCATCTCTTAAAAAAAGCTTATATCAAGATAAAAAGAAGATCTGAGACAAAATATTTTATATCGATAGTATAGAGAAGCAATTACAAGAATCAGAAGAGCAAGTTCAAAATTTAAGACATAGATTCAAAGTTATTTCTTCTCAAAGAAGCTCTTCAAGTTTATATAATTCAAAAGAGGAAGATATAGATATGGTGAATCTTGATCTTTTTATACAAATCAATCGAGGATTGACTCGTATTGAAAATCATTTTAGAGGTGATACATCACTAAATAATTCTATTAATATTATTCAAGACATTAGAGATTCCTTAAATACTGTTCGGCATAATTATCAGTCTGCATACCAGGATATAGATGATATTATAGCCCAACGAGATAATAGAGATGCTCAAATAGTTTAGTTACAATAGGATGTCAATTTATATAGACAACAAAATATCATTTTACAAAATCAAGTTAACCAGCTTACTCAAAAATGAGATATCTTCCAGAATGATCTTACTTTAATGACTATAGCTTATAATAATGAACAGGGAGAACGTTGTCGCTGGTGGGAAGTTACGCAACAGTTAGAAAGGGAAATGCAAAAATGTATAAACACTTTATTACTTGAAAAACTTGCGTTTAATTTTAAATTTTGGAGGTATCAGATTCATGGACAAGGATTACAACAAAAATATGATATACGGAGGTATTTATGACATAATGCAAGCTTGATATGGAGTGAACAATCTAAACTCAAACATATTCTTGTAATTATTTACAAGATATTTATTCATCACTTAGGGTAGGAGCTACAACAATGCCAGGCTGATAAAGGATTATTATAATGTAATCGTGATAGGCTCTTTGATAGATATTACAATAAATTCAAGGATCAGAAGGCAAGTTATATCAAGTGAAAAAATAGAGAGCACAATTCACGGCAATTAATATTAAATTTGAATCAGCAAATTTTTACGCTTCAGAATAATCCATCTATTGTTATCATTTTGATGGAACTTTTGAAATACTCAAAGATATTTATAAAATTTAAGGAATATTCAAAGGGAAACTTCCAATATCTTAATGACAATTTAAAATATTAATAATACTTTATAACTATTAGACTGAATATGAATAAGTACTCAAAGTACTAATGACAAAATCACTTAAAAATTGATAACAATTATATTCTTTTAACATAATAATCTGAACTGCTAAAAAGAGTTCTTAAAATTTCAAAGTCAAAGTAATAAAAATTATAATATTCGTATTATTAGCAATATAAGATCAAAGGTAAATAATGTACTATTAACAATATAATATTGAAGATAAGTTTATGAACAATGTATTAACAATATAATCTCAATGACAAATTTATGAATTATAATAATAATTTTTTTATTTAATATAATGTTCAATAAGTTTTATTACAAATGTATTCAAATAATCTAGTATTAAGATAATAGCTTTTATAGCACTTCTAACAAATATACTTAAACTACTATAATATTAATTCAAGATCTGTATAATACTTATAGTAATAGTGCTAAAGTAATTATATAAAAAACAAGAATACTTTGTTAAAGAGGTGTAAAAAGAAGTTTGCACTTGATTACTTACTCTATATAAAGTGCAAACTTTATTTTTTTGAATAATCAAAACTACATAATAACTAATTAAATATGATAATTAAGAATTACTATCTAAAAAAACTTGTTTATATCTAATTCTAATAATTATAATACATGTTGCTTTTATACAAATCCAAAATATAATTTATTAGCTATATGAATTCATGTTCACTATATCACTTAAATTCTATTGATCCAATATTTGCTTATTCATTCATTTGTTCGCTCATTCATTTACTTGTTTGTTCATTTGCTCACTTGTTCCACATAATTAGATTCTTTCAAAAAGATATAAAATATTTATAATTCAATAATATTAAGTATGAATAATTCAGTATAATATTCAATCAAGGTTTATTATACAATAGTATAAAATGTATTACTTAATATTATGCAAAAGAATAATATATTTATTTAATATTTTTTAGTATGTGATATCTGAGAAATTAAATTATATAAATAACAACATGGATATATAAGCCAAATCTGATAAGATAATGTTATAATTACTTTAAATAAAGAATTTTTTCACTTTTAATAAAAGAGTAATATGATTGGGAGAGAGAAATAGATTAATAAAATTGATTAGTACAAAAATAAATATTTAAGCCTGTGTTAATTTTAACAGAAATTGTTAAAAGATTTTATTAAAAGGAAAAAAAAAGTTAAAAGAGTATTTAAAGAGATAATTAACTAAAAGAAATTATTAATTAAATATAAAAATATTAATATTTTATATTTATAATTATATGTTTTAGTGCTTTCAATACTAAAAAAAATAAATTACTAAAAGAAATATCACTTATTTAGAGTTGTAATGTATAACTATATAATTCAATATCACTTATTTAAAATTATACTATATTGTTATTCCAGTTCTTTTAACAGTATTTATATAGCAGAAGGTCTTTAGCAGGTCTCTTCTTACAGTTATAAGAGAAGATAGTGGATCAAGTTAAGTTTATTATTAAGAAAGTTATACGTT